AAGGTTAATATCTTTATTATTTTAGCATTTTCAATGTCATCCGATATGGATCAAAGTGTATTGACTGTTTCTGTTGATCCAAAAGTTAACGATCTCCCATTTCCACGCTTTGGTCAACCACAAAGGCTTGGCGAGTATACTGTATGCGATCAACACCAACTCCCATTTAATTTCGCTCTGCTTGAAAGTTTTTCATTCTCAGGTTACGCGTGATCGATGTTTGGTGCCAGGTAGAGAGGATGCAAAGTATTTGTATGAAGCCGCATTGGCCGATGGTGGGAGAGTTAAGTTTGATCTGAACAAGGGATTTGATTCTTTTGAGGAAAAAGTAATATTTCAAGGTATTGAAAGTTGTAGTAGCAGTGTTGATGACTTCTTGTTTTTACAGGAGGGCGACGAAAGGCTCGACATTCTGTTAGATTGGGTTATGTCACAAGCCCCACGCGGTGGCCCTTTGAAAAAGGTGTGTTACGATGAACTAGAAGAGTTGTCCGATAATTGTAGAGCTCAGGTGCTTCATGAGGCTGACTTTCTGTGTTGGCGTGGTCTATTAACACGAATAGCTGCCACCCCGTTCTGTCCCAAAGACTCTTGGGAATTCGCGGCTGCACGAATAGGTGATGTGATTTTCCTTTGCGAAAGGGAAACAGAGGAGACACGGCAAAGGTTGGATAGATAGAACTGTGGGAGAAGTTTATAGTATATAACAGCTACCTTATAGGAAGCAGTCCATGACACAACGAGAGAAAATGATGACATACTGGGGATTCAAATTTGAGCAGTACATGACGGTAGCTGAGAAGGACGTACGTTCTTTGAAGGCAGTTTCTAAGTAGACTTCTAACAGTTGTTCCACCCTTTCTTGTATGGCGTAGCACTCAGCTTTAGTTACAGTGAAATTGTCAAGAAACATAGATTCGCGGTCCCTTGCGGACTGACGGAAACAGCGACGGAAGCGCGACTTCAAATCAACAATTTCATGTCTCTCACATGCTTTTCTCGCTAGAGAGTGCAGCCTTTGAGAGAGGCTAGACGCGGGCGCCGTTGAGAGAGAAATCATTGGGTGGGCGGGCTGACCTAAACGTCTGGGGCCGGATTCATCATTGAAATTGAGGTATTATTTGCTCCTGAGGTAAACATCCCGTGGTATTTTCAACCCTAAGGTGAAAATCGCATTCACCAATATTTTACCCCGGAAGGTAAGGAAATACCCCGATGTCAGTCGCCGCGCATTGCCGCTTCATGAGAACGTCTCATGACGTGTTTGCGGTGCTGATTTCCTAATAAACCGTGGATTTCTTACTTT